CTCCTCCTTGCTTAAGTGACCCAGATGGGTGGGAGGGGAGGGGAGGGGAGGAGGGAACTGGGCCTGAGGGCAAGTGCCACATCATCTGAGCCCAAACTCTCCACTGTAGCTGGCTAGGTATCATGGGCCTGTATGCCAACACCTCCTCGGATGAGGGAGAGATGGAGGAATCTGACCCTAGCCCTCAGATGCTGTAAGAAGACCCACCAGATAAGGTGGAGAATCTATCAGGTGCAGACGGGGAGTCTCAGCCTGCAGTCAGCATGCCACGCCCTCAGTCCTACAGCCTGGGATCAGAATCTGAAGCAGAGGCCTTGCAGCCAGCAGCCTCACTCCTGGGCTTGCCAAAATCCTTGGAATGCTGGAGAAGGCGGGCCCAGAGGGAGGTGTGGGAGCAGTGCTGTAGTTTGCAGTTGGCAGTCCAACACCAGGCAACCTCTGCCTGTGAGTTGGAGTCATTGGAGCCCTGTAGGCCGCTCAGCCATTGAGGACCTGTCCCTGGATGACTCAGTAGGTTGAAGAGCTGCACCTGGCCTTGAATGATAAAAGCAGCCAGAAAAGGGAGACAGTGTGGAAGCAACTTGTCCACAACCCTTGTGTGCTGCTGTGCCTTAGACTTCTGTGTACCTTGACCTTCTGGACTGTGACCTGGCTTGTCTTTGGATCCACCCTTCTGGATTTGATGCTTGCACTTTTGAATAGCTGTGTTTGGACCCTTGGTTGTTTTTGGACTATACCTATTGCTTCTTGCCCCAGGTGCCTGCCTGAACCATGACAGTTTGCTTCCACCTCATTGCAGGCTCATGCACTGTCGGGGAATGGAGGCTGGGGCTGCTGCAGAACCAGGCAAGTTGCTCAGCTGATCAACGTGTTGGCTTTGCTCCAGCAACAACCACAACAGCAACCAGCTACCCCTCTGCTGCCTGTGGTGGGGTAGTGCTGCCTGCACCACTCCCTGTGCCCCCAAGGAAATGCCCAGTAAGCCCACCAGAGAAGTTTGAGGGGAATGTGGAAGAGTTCCCAATGTTCCTGGCCCAGTGCCACCTGTACATTGATCTCTGAGCCCAGGATTTTCCAGATGAAAAGACCAAAGTCTGCTTCATCCTAGGTCTCTTGAAAGGGCAGGCAGCCAAGTGGCAGGCAGCCCTGCTCCTGAGTGACTGGCGTGAAAACTGCCTTTGCCAGTCCCCAGAAAGTGGAAAATGCCAACTGGCAGATTTGTCACCTGAGACAGGGCACGGACTCTGTGTCTGCCTATGCCACAGTTGTTCCAGCTGCTGGCTCAGGAGCTGGCCTGGAATGAAGCAGCACTAATGGACCAGTTTTCAGAAGGTCTAGCCAACGAGATTCTGGATGTGCTGGCTTGAGTTGACCCCCCCCCCAGGCCCTCATAGTCTTCTGCCTTCACACTGACAGTCATTTGGAGGCCCGGAAGCAAGCTTGAAGTGAGGTGCCCTGTCATGTGGATACCCAATGTCTTCTGCCAGCCCTACCCAACCATCCTCTGCCAGCGCCTCTGGCCACAGTGAGTGCAAGCTGATGCAGCTGGCAGCTACTCACCCTTGGTTGATGGCCGAAGAGTAGAGGTCAAACCCAGAAACTGTGCCTATACTGTGGTGGTCCAGGGCTTTATGCCAGCAACTGCCCTGAGAAGAAGAGATCCTGCCCACAGGTAACAAACAATTGGCCCCGGGTCAGTATGGGCCATGTGACTTGGGGTGCACCGCCAGACCTAGTGGTCTTGCTGACCCCAGCACCGGACAGATTGTGAATTGTTCTTACCTGGCGACTGTTGGCTGCAAACGAATACTATGGTAGATTCTGGAGTGTCTGGCTGTTTCACAGACTGTGTTTGCCATCCCAAATCAGGCCCTATTGCAACTCAAAGACATGCCTGCTCTGGTGGAGGCCATTGATGGCCACCTTCTGCTTTCTGGCCTGGTAATCCAAGAGGCACAGCTGCTCATCTTAAAGGTACAATATCACCAGGAGCAGCTCTGTTTTGACCTTGTCCATGTGCCCCATTCCCCCATTGTACTGGGCATGTCCTGGCCGGCTCTCCATGACCCAGTCATCTGGTGGGCCCACTAGGAGTGCCATTTCCAGGAACCCTGCCCACACTAGATCCCATTTGCCATACTGGGGGCTGCTCCTCATTCACAGTTGCCTCTCACCCCAGCAAATTATGCAGACTTTGCACATTATCAAAATTGCAGATGACATGAAGCTGGGTGGGATTGCTAATTCTGAAGAAGACAGAGTCAGGATTCAAAACGATCTAGATAGGCTGGAACAGTGGGCTGACACGAATAAAATGAATTTCAATAGAGAGAAGTGCAAAGTCCTACACAGGTACAAAAAATCAAAGGCACAGATATAGAATGGGAGGGACTTGGCTTGACAGCAGCACATGTGAAAGGGATATGGGTGTTCTGGTTGATCACAAGCTAAACATGAGCCTGCAGTGCGATGTGGCTGTGAAGAAAGCTAATGCAATCTTAGGATGCATTAACAGAAGCATTGTGTCCAGATCACGCGAGGTGGTAGTTCCGCTCTATTCTGCTATGGTCAGGCCCCAACCTGGAGTACTGTGTCCAGTTTTGGGCACCACATTTTAGGAAGGATGTTGACAAGCTCGAGCGTGTCCAGAAGAGGGCAACCAGGATGGTGAGAGGGTTGGAATCCAAGTCTTATGAGGAAAGACTGAAGGAGTTGGGTATGTTTAGCCTGGGAAAGAGAAGGCTTAGAGGGGACATGATTGCAGTCTTCAAGTATTCGAAGGGCTGTCATGTAGAAGATGGAGCAGATCTATTCTCTCTTGCTCCGGATTGCAAGACTATATCTAATGGGTGGTAATTACAAGGAAGTAGTTACTGGCTAAATATCAGGAAAAACTTCCTAACTGTAACAGTGGTTGAGCAGTGGAACAGTCTGCCTCGGGAGGTGGTGGATGCTCCTTCGCTGGACGTTTTCAAGCGGAGGCTGGACGACCATCTTTCAGGTATGTTGTAGGGCTATCTTTCGGCTATGCTTCTGCAGAGTGCAGGGGGTTGGACTAGATGACCTGTAAGGTCCCTTCCAACTCTAACATTCTATGATTCTATTATAGTCTCTCACCCGTGCTCTTTAATATTGAGGCTGCTGGATAGAGATTGTCTAGCATTTTGGAGTTGGGTGTCATTAATATACAGGTAGCATCTAGATTTATGTTTCATTCTCCAGGCCTCCAGATGCTTCTATCTTCATTCTGAACTGATGCTTTGAGGCCATGGTTAGGTGGCCAGGGCAGAACAAGCTCAAGCTGAATCCAGACAAGACAGAGCAATGATAATTAGGAAGGCTGATGTTCTAAAGGGGTTGGATTCATTTGTCCTAGAGTTAGCTTTTGCAGAGCTGTTTGAAAAGCAGGTTGGTATACTGGCCAAGAGTGCTTTCTATCAAATGCTTCTGGTTCACCAACTCTCTCCTTTCTTCGACTCAGCTGATCTGGTCACACTGATTGACGCTTTTGTTAACGCCGTAGTTAGAGTACTGTAATGTTGGGCTGCCCTTGAAGACAACCTGGAAACTGCAGGGGGTTCAGAGTGTGGCAGCCGGATTCTTTCAGAGGCTAGCTGATGGGAGCACATCTTACCCATCTCAAAACAGCTACATGGCTATAACCTTTAAAGTCCTTCAAGGCCTGGGACCCACATACCTAAAAGGATTGTGTCCTCCCATGTGTCCCTCTGCGCCAACTACAGTCTTCAGACTGCCATCTACCGGCTATTCATGGAATCACAGAGTCGGAAGGGGCCATACAGGCCGTCTAGTCCAACCTCCTGCTCAATGCAGGATCAGCCTAGAGCAAGGGGTGTCAAACCTACGACCCATGGGCTGCAACCAGCCCAGGAGTGGGGCTCTCTTCTCTCCCCTGCCCATCCTCGCTGTTCTGAGCTTGAACTGCAGAACACAGGGCACGGCTACCAAACTTCCCTGTCTCCGTAGTCTTTCTCACAGGTAGGAGCTGGGGGGGTCCTTCTGCTGTGACCCTTGTGCTTCTTTTTATTTTAAAACTTGCTTTGCAAAATCCCACTATTCCCCCATCTTTCCAATTTAGACAGGCACGTTTTAAAGGCATGGGGGGGAAGGTTTGGGACCAGCCAAGGTTAAAATACAGAGTTCTGCAAACTCAAGGGACTCCAGTTTTGCAGAGAAATATTAGTTTTAACACACACACACACATACACCCCTCCTAATGTGAAGCTCCAATGGAATAACAGCAGAAAAAGGGCTGAAGAGGACATCCAAAGTTATTATCTCAAACCACTCTGTAAAAAATCCTCTGAGACCCTGGAGAGTCACTGCCACTCTGAATAGACTGGGGTGGGCGGTAGAAGCTTGCAATGCTCAGTCATTTCATGTTCGTCCTCTGAATCCTATTTGTAGTTTATATTTTTAAGGCGGGGAGGGGAAGTTTAGGACTAGCCACAGTTAAACATTCATACTATTTATATTCCACTCAAACTGTATAATTTGCTTCAAAGTAGTTTATTCTCCACAACATGGAGGACTAGAATCTAAAATGTATTCAGGACATGTGGAATCTGAGACTCAATATTCAGATTAAGCAGAGAGATTCCCTTCCCCTTCCCCAAAATAAAGTTATAGCCGGCACTGTGTATATAGTAGCAGATATGCAGATTTCTTTTGTTACTATGGTGATGACTGTGAGCACCGTCAAAAGGTAACTGGAAAGTTTGCCAAGAGAATACTTAGGGGGTTTCCATTCACAGCCGGCTGAGTGGCACCTACTCCAACACTTGCCTAGCAGGTAAAATGCATAATGTTTACTTGAGCATTAGAAAATGCATGCAGTCTGCTACAATAGAACAATAGAGAAGCTTGGCCAGTTTAAGATGTCCTCAAGCACAGACTGCATTTTTCTTTGGTCACTATCTTGTAATATACAGGCTTAGTATTCTGAAGTCAGCACATAAGCCTCCACTCTGAAACATTACCTTCCCAGAGACAATCTTCTCATAGATCTGAATTGGCTGGTCTGCAAAGAATGGAGGGTAGCCAGCTGCCATCTCGTAGATTAGGACACCCAGGGCCCACCAGTCCACAGCTTTGTTATAACCCTGCAACAGGAAAGCAGGTTCGGATCATGTACGCAAAGGACGAGTGGCATTTAATTGTAGAGGAGGGTAAGAAATGGCTGAGAGTGTAAGATGCTCAGTTGGGCAGAGTCCTCTTCCACAGCTGATCAAGGCACAGAACACTGCCAGTGGTTACAGATGTCTCATATCTTCTCACCTTGCTTAGAATGATTTCAGGAGCCAAATATTCTGGAGTTCCACAAAGGGTCCATGTTCGACCTTTCACTCGTTTTGCAAAGCCAAAATCTGTCACCTGGAGATACAAGGGAAAGACAAAAGAACATGTGAAGATAATGAGAACATTAGCCCCTCTAGCTCAATATTGCTCATCTGGCAGCAGCTTATCAGGGTCTTCGGCAAAGAGAGCTCCTGCCCAACCATCTGCTACTGCGATCCTTTACCTGGAGATGCCGGGGATTGAACAGTGGACTTCCTGCACACAAAGCAAGTGCTCTCCCAGTGGGCCACAAGTTCTCAGTAATAGGATTAGCAATACAAGGGAAGTTGTGAAGGTGCATTCCACCCATAACCCCCATGTGGGCAGAGCTGAAGTTTAATATAGGAAATTTAGAGGAGAAAGTATCTTGTTTCCTTTTCAAAGGTTTTTCCCCCCAATATGCATATTTTCCAGGGGCATAAAAAGTAGAACACGATCACAGGAAACTGCCTTATACCAAGTCGGATCTATCAAGGTTAGTATTGTCTGATCTGATCCTGGTAGAGGTCTCCAAGTGAAGGGCGGGGTATAAATCCAATCTCCTGCTCTTCTTCTTCTTCTTTTTCTTTCACATCAACTATAACTGCATCTTTTTAACTAGATATCACTGAGGATTGAACCTGGCACCCTTCTGAATGCAAAACAGATCCTCTTGCCCCAGAGCCACAGTCCTATTCTGCGGCTTGAGCACACTTGGTTAAGAATGCACCAGATTTTTTTAATTGCTTGGTTCCCAGTTAATAAAATAAAATTTATAGGAAGATATGCCATGTCCATTTTCTTTATCGATCCTGTCAATTTCATAGGAGGCTACTGATAGATAGCAAACTGTAGTAACTTCTAATAATGTTAGTCGTCTCACACCATGTAATTATTCTGTAGCTCTACATGGGCAACAAGGGACAAAGAACTCTTGCTGTTTTGTACAGCAGGATCCCACAGAAGGGATGGAAGCACCATTACCTCAATGTAGCCCTGCTGGTCAATGAGGAGGTTCTCAGGCTTCAAGTCTCGGTAGATGAGATCTAGCGAGTGCAGGTATTCAAAAGTCAGCACAATCTGAGCGGCGTAGAACCGGGCATGAGGTTCACTGCAGAAAATGAGAAAAGCTTTTTCCTATGCTCTGTGACAGGTAGGACTTTACCTAAAGTGTGGTTCAGTCCGCTGCCATCAAGACAGACATGCCTCCGTGTTCACCAGGACCTTCATATCAATCTCAACCTACCTTCTTGGTTCCCCATCAGGCTTCTTTTACATGGTGACTGTGGACTTACTGCTTGCAAAACCACTCTGTGCCGAGCTGGCTGACATTCTCCAGACTATCCCAAAACCACCAGTCTCAACCAGTAATCCCCTGATGAAAAGCACTCAGCTGCTAATGGCCTGTCAAGCCTGGCCATCTCTCCCTTACTGCAGAATGAGCATCATCCCACCCTTACAGCAAATAGGGGAGCACTCACCTGAACCTGCCAATCCGTCGTAGGTGGGAGAACATCTCACCACCTGGGATGTATTCCATCACCATGTACAAATTCGAGTTATCCTGTAATCAAATGCAGGAACAACTAAGAGCCATGGCAAGCATTGCTTTGCTCCCACCACCACCACCACCTCTTTTGTTTATAAAATGCTCATATTGCCTTTCTACAGCACTCGGTCAAGGGTGTTTGTGTGTATTCACATACCCAGAAAAGAATTCCGAAAAAGGAATGAGGAGAGGGGAGAGAACCCTGCATCTGGCACATAATTCAATATCCTGAGGATTTCCTCTTTAAAAACAAACATCTGGCCTTTTTAGTTGCACAGACAAATCTTCAAACATTCAGATAATGCCTAGGACCCAGGAAACATCAAACCACAGGTCCCAATGCCTCAAGCTTCAACACTATGGTCTTTTCCCATGGCTACTGTTTCTTAAATGTCCGCTTCCCTACAACATCCATGCTCCACCCCTCGCCCACTGCTCTCTACCATCACCAACTTAATAATAAAAAACCAAGCCCTTTAAAACAAGCCCGTTCTGTGGGATCCTGGACATGCATATGCATTTCATGTGCACAAAGTTCTGAGTGTTTGATATAAAATTGTTTTTAATAATAGATATAACCTCGTTCTTAACATTCTGTTCAAGGTTGCTTCCTGCTATCACAAAGCTATTCTAGCTTTTAAATGACACTTAATGTCTGCTTTATATATAGTACAATTAACATATGGTACTGGTATAAGAACATAAGAACATAAGAGAAGCCAATGTTGGATCAGGCCAATGGCCCATCTAGTCCAACACTCTGTCACACAGTGGCCAAAAATACCAGGTACCATCAGGAGGTCCACCAGTGGGGCCAGGACACTAGAAGCCCTCCCACTGTTGCCCTCCCCCCCAAGCACCAAGAATACAGTGCATCACCTGACCCAGCCTGTGAGTTCCTATCTATACCTTGTGGCTAATAACCACATAAGAACATAAGAGACGCCAATGTTGGATCAGGCCAAAGGCCCATCTAGTCCAACATTCTGTCACACAGTGGCCAAAAATATCAGGTGCCATCAGGAGGTCCACCAGTGGGGCCAGGATATTAGAAGCCCTCCCACTGTTGGCCCCCCCCAAGCACCAAGAAGACAGAGCATCACTTGCCCCAGAGCCCCTATCTATACCTTGTGGCAAATAGCCACTGATGGACCTCTGCTCCATATGCCTATCTAATTCCCTTTTGAAGCCCTCCATGCTTGTAGCCGCCACCACCTCCTCTGGCAGTGCATTCCAAGTGTTAATCACTCTTTGGGTGAAGAAGTACTTCCTTTTATCCATTCTAACCCGACCGCTCAGCAATTTCATGGAGTGCCCACAAGTTCTTGTATTGTGAGAAAGGGAGAAAAGTACCTCTTTCTCTACCTGTTCTTTCCCATGCATAATCTTGTAAATCTCAATCATGTCACCCCTCAGTCGTCGTTTCTCCAAGCTAAAGAGCCCTAAGCGCTTTAACCTTTCCTCATAGGGAAAGTGTTCCAACCCTTTTATCATTCGAGTTGCCCTTTTCTGCACTTTTTCCAAAGCTATAATATCCTTTTTAAGGTGTGGTGACCAGAACTGCACACAGTATTCCAAATGAGGTCGCACCATTGATTTATATAGCGGCATTATGATATTGGCTGATCTGTTTACAATACCCTTCCTAATAATCCCCAGCATAGCATTGGCCTTCTTTATTGCAGTCACACACTGTCTCGACATTTTCAGTGAGTTATCTACTACAACTCCAAGATCTCTCTCTTGATCAGTCTCTGCCAGTTCAGACCCCATCAACGTGTATTTATAGTTAGGATTTTTGGCTCCAATGTGCATCACCTTGCACTTGGCCACATTGAACCCCATTTGCCATGTTGACGCCCACTCGCCCAACTTTGACAGATCCCTTTGGAGTGCCTCACAATCCTCACTGGTTTTCACCACCCCGAACAACTTTGTATCATCCGCAAATTTAGCCACTTCACTGCTTACTCCCATCTCCAAATCATTAATGAACAAGTTAAAAAGCAGTGGACCAAGTACTGATCCCTGTGGTACCCCACTGCTTACACCCCTCCACTGGGAGAACTGCCCATTTATACTCACTCTCTGTTTTCTATTAATTAGCCAGTTTTTGATCCATAAAAGGACTTGTCCTTTTATCCCATGATTTTTGAGCTTGCTTAGGAGCCTTTGATGAGGAACTTTATCAAAAGCTTTCTGGAAGTCAAGGTAAACAATATCTATTGGATCCCCCTTGTCCACATGTTTGTTCACCCCCTCAAAGAACACTAACAGGTTAGTGAGACAAGATCTTCCCTTACAGAACCCATGTTGAGTCTGCCTCAATAGGTTTTGTTCATCTATGTGCCTACTAATTCTTTCCTTAATAATGGTTTCCACCAATTTACCCGGTATCGACGTCAGACTGACAGGCCTGTAATTTCCCGGATCTCCTCTGGAACCCTTTTTAAAGATGGGAGTGACATTAGCTACCTTCCAGTCCTCAGGAATGGAGGCTGATTTTAAGGAGAGATTACATATTTTTGTCAGGAGATCCACAAGTTCACAATTGAGTTCTTTCAGAACTCTTGGATGTATGCCATCTGGGCCTGGTGATTTATCAGTTTTTAAGTTGTTTATCAGTTTTAGGACCTCCTCTCTCGTCACCTCAATCTGACTCAGGTCTTTCAACACCCCTCCTGAAATCAGTGGTTCTGGAGTGGGCAAGCACTTCTCATCTTCCACAGTGAAGACGGAGGCAAAAAATGCATTTAGCTTCTCAGCCATTTCCCTATCATCCTTCAGTACTCCTTTTACCCCTTGGTCATCCAAGGGCCCCACTGCCTCCCTGGCTGGTTTCCTGCTTCTAATGTATTTGAAGAAAGTTTTATTGTTGGTCTTTACATTTTTTGCTATATGCTCCTCATATTCCCTTTTTGCCTGCCTGACCACAGACTTGCATTTTATTTGCCATAGCCTGTGTTCTGTTTTATCAGCCTCACTGTGACTAGCTTTCCACCGCTTAAAGGAATCCTTTTTACCTTTTACAGCTTCCATTACTTTGTTTGTTAACCATGTAGGCTTTTTCTTATACCTGTTTGTGCCTTTCCTAACCTGCGGAATATATATTTTTTGAGCTTCTAGGATCGTAGTTTTAAATAGATCCCAAGCTTCCCCAATTGTTTTGACCCTTTCTACTTTTCCTTTCAGTTTCCTCCCCACGTGTCCCCTCATATCAGAGAAATTACCCCTTTTAAAGTTAAAAATGGTTGTGTGAGTCTTTTTGGCCAATTCCCTATTTGTACAAATGTTGAACTCAACAACATTATGATCACTGTTCCCAAGCGGTGCAATCACTTTTACATCTCTCACCAGGTCTTGAGTGTTACTTAGGACCAAATCAAGGATCGCCTCTCCCCTGGTAGGTTCCATGACCATCTGCTCCATAGCACAGTCATTTAGAGTGTCTAGAAACTCAATCTCTTTCTCTCGACTAGAACACATATTGACCCAATCAATGTGTGGGTAGTTAAAATCACCTATTATTACACAGTGTTTTTGTCTAGTTGCTATCTTTAAGGCATTCATCATTTTATAATCCTCCTCTATCTTTTGATCTGGTGGGCGATAACAAACTCCCAGTGTTAAGTTTCCTTTTGGCCCCCCTATTTCAACCCACAGAACTTCAAGAAGCGAATCCAATTCTCTTAGCCTCTCGATCTTTCTGGACTTTATACCCTCTCTGACATACAGAGCCACCCCACCTCCAACCCTTCCCCCCCTATCCTTCCGATATAATATATAACCGGGAATCACCGTATCCCACTGATTTTCCTCATCCCACCAAGTTTCAGAAATACCCACAATGTCTATTTTTCCCTCCGACACCAAGCACTCCAACTCCCCGATTTTACCTCGGACACTTCTAGCATTTGTATAGAAACAGCTGTAATTTCCCTTACAAGTTAAGCCTGCATCCTTCCTCTTGCTATCTCGAGTCGTTGTCCGGCAGTCCATGTCACCAGCCATGGCCTCTGTGGACAATTTCAATCCACCTCCCTGTAGAAAAGCAACCGGTACCCCCTCACCTCTCTCAGATGAGCCAACCCGAACCAGAGACTTTTCATCTCCTGTCGGCTTTCCCCCAATATTCAGTTTAAAAACTGCTCTGCCACCTTTTTGATTTTAAGCGCCAGCAGCCTGGTTCCTTCTCGGGACAAGTGGAGACCGTCTCGCCTGTACAGCTCCCTCTTGTTCCAAAAAGAATCCCAGTGCCTAACAAACCTGAACCCTTCCCCTCTACACCATCGTCTCATCCACGCATTGAGACTCCTGATCTCTGCCTGTCTCTCCGGCCCTGCGCGTGGAACAGGTAACACTTCTGAGAAGGCTACCTTGGAGGTCCTGGACCTAAGTTTCCTGCCCAGCAGCCTAAATTTCTCCTCCAGGACCTCACGACTGCATTTCCCCACATCGTTGGTGCCGACATGCACCACGACCACTGGCTCCTCCCCAGCACTATCTACCAGCCTATCTAAAACACGCGTAATGTCCGCTACCTTCGCACCAGGCAGGCAAGTCACCATACGGTCAGTACGCGGGTTCGCCACCCAGCTGTCTACCTGCCTAAGGATCGAATCACCCACTACCAAGAGCCCCCCTCCCACCCTGCTCAGGGATGGTTCCTTGGTGCAAAAGGAGAGCCGCTCACCAGCTGGGGAAGAGGTCCCTTCTGAGGGCACATTCCCCTTATCCTCAGCATGGTGCCCTGTTTCCCCTAGACCCTCATGCTCCCTGACAGCAGCGGGGCTGCCAGATCCAGAGTGGGACGTAGCTAACAAGTCCCCGAGAGTCTTTTCTGTGCGCCTAGCTGACTGTCTCTGCTTCTCCAGGTCAGCCACCTTGGCCTCAAGGGAGCACACACGTTCCCTGAGAACCAGGAGCTCCTTGCACCGAGGACACACCCAAGACTTCTGCCCAGTGGGCAGATAGTCATACATGTGACACTCCGTGCAAAACACTGGATAGCCCCC